ATATACACTCACACATGTGTACATGTGTTATATACGAAATGTAAAATAATAAATAAATAAAAAATACTAGTCTAGCTTTTTAGTATAATTTGTTGTTAGAGAAATCTACAGCTAAACACAACATTCCTGTAGCTGCTATTAAACACGCTAGCAATTAAGACATTATTTGCATAATAAGTGAATGTTAAGCATAATTTTCTTATCAAGTATTTACTGTGTTTAAGTTTAAATTGTAAAGGAAAAGGAAACTGTCGCTATGCCCGGGGCGTTGGATGGCGAATGTCGGTAATCAGTAATCTCACGCATGCGCAGTACTGACCGGCGCCGGCGCCGATGGCTACGTTACTAGAAAGGACGTTAGAGTTTCACTAGCTCACTAGGTGGCCCATTAAAAAAGCTTAAAAAAGTTTGTAAATAAATATGAAGTGTTTAATAAAATGTTAAAGTTAAGTTAAAATGTCAAAGGTAATTTACTTAATAAATTAATGGTTGTCAGTCTCATCTTTAGCTTTTTTCTTTTAAGAAAAATCAGTACGTATGATGAACTGAACCCTATGTACGTAGGGTCCAGCTTAATGTAAAAGATTTTACTCCTATAATGATATGGAAGAGTCCAGTCTCGGAATTAAGTAAGTAACACAATTAGGTGAGTTTACCCTAAGCAATCTATCAGCAGAAACACCCACATCATACAAAGAGTTCATCATCCATCATCAGCCTAAAAGTGCCCAATACTGAGAAAAAGCCTTACCTCGCGCAGAGACGGTTTGGGGATTAATCACCAAGCTTGCTCAAGACTGAATGGCGATTCAAACTTAAAATTTAAAAGTATAAGTCCAGATTTTCTCACGATATTATCCTCCACGGTAGGTCAGTGGTGTCTAAAATCATAGGAAGTCCATAAACTCGGAAAGGGTCACATTGGTACTTGACAGGTTTTGTATCACTCTCACTCTCATGCATGAGAAGCTGTGGAGGTTAAGGCACCGAACCTCTGGACCACCACAACATAAAGAGTTACGAGTGCGTTTTAAGGGATTTTGAAGGTGGGGATAGCGTTTTTTTTTTATTTGGTTTGTGCCTCCAAAGGTTTTTTTTAATATGTAAACACTCATTCTTCGCCAGTGATATATGCTATGAGTACATAACGCTTAATTATTTTGGTGCTAGTTACTGTTGTGTCATTTTTATGTCAACTCTAAGTCTTTATTTAAATTCTAATTAAATCGTGTTAGGCTCTGTTATTCTATTTATGTATGGTGTGATTTCCTATAATAAGAAAGCATAGGATATTTTATATTCTGCTTTTCGTATAAGCAGAATTGTTTTGTGTTTTTCATTGTTGGAAATCCAAATAAATACATAAGGAACGAAACTATTAACTACCTACTAGGCATAATTCAAGCGTGTATGCGATGATAACGAAAACTGTAAATCCTAATATTGTCTTTCCTAGACTTTCTCTAAAGCTTTCTGCAGTAACAAAAAGTACAGAAATAACAAACGTATTATATTTAAGATACTTCTACCATTATATATGTGTATAAATACAGGCATGGAGTCAAATCACGACTGCATTGCACAATGGCCTATTTGTAATAGACAATAAGAGCTAATCACCGATTAATTAAAACAGAATAGATCAATAAATTCATAGCAATACAACAAATTTCAATCAACAATTTCGCCATTGTTGTAGTTTATTATGTTATAAAATATTAGTGAAACTATTAAACCTTGATTGATTGAAATTAACCTAATCATTGTAAATAAGTACTATATATAACCTAGTAGAATCAACCAGTATAAAATGACCTTTGTGAGATGTGATGAATGAGATCATGACAAATTATTTCTTTACCTTGATGTAGTATATGTTTTTGTAATACCAAAAAAAGAAATTCTCTCTTTAATGATGTTTATCAGCATTATTATCAAAAAGTGCTTTACAAACTACCTATACATTGGGGCTATCGCCACGATAAAATGAATTCTTTTCCAAAAATTATATTCTTTACACTAAATAAACAACGCTAATTTTAATGTCAAAATTTTATGACAATCCCAACTTAAGCTAAAAGCTTTTAATGTGAATTAGTGAAACTGTATAACTATATTTAAGGCAATTTCTGATAACAAAATCAATTCCGAATGGCGGATTTTTGGCGCCATATAGGTGCCGATGTCATAAAACGATGCGAAAACACCGAAACAAGACTATAAATATTTAATTTGGCGAAAAAATTCAAAGAAAACAACATGTTATATATGTATTTTTATATGTGTTAATATTAATAAAACTTGTGACTATGTTACGCCTCCTCATAGCCAATTTTAATGAGACAATTTTTGATATCCCTAAGTCGGCCCCGAAGGTCGTAAATGCCTTATCAAGTTCAAAATTTACAAATGAACGAACACAATTTAATTGTGGGAGAGTTATGCTTCAGCACGAATGGGTTGGCTCGACCGGAGTGATACCACGGCTAATTTTGACTACAAAACTGATATAATGAAGACAGCTTCCTATTGTCTCCTTGTCTCTTTCACATCTCATTTTAATTCTCTTCCGATATTACAACATGTGAACCAATTATATGTGAGAAAATAAAAGAATTAATTAGTTAATTAGTCAAACCCGAACGCCCCGACGTGAACGCCGGCGTTCGCACGCCTATTGCCATACTATTTTGTCTCATATTACAACGATTGAAAGTTTAAATTATACGAGGCTTGTACAAAGTCGATCCATATAAAAAGGACCATGACTTCCAGCCTGACAGCTGCCAGAGGGCAAAGTAGCATCTACAAACAGCCACAACGAGCACCCGCCACACAAATCATTATCACGTAATAAACAATACACTAAATAATTTACGATTACGGCGCATGCGTCCTTGTGCCACAGTGTTGCAGCGATTGGATAGTTTATAGAGCAGACGGTACTGCTTCAATACTCAATAGACAATTCATCTAGCTTTATAGCGTTCGCAAATAATAGGTATAAACCAGACAGCAGGCACAAACACAAACGCAGCCTCAATACAACATAGTCGACAAAATGACAAAATTGAAGTTTCCAATATTCCTAGGCATTACATCACGAATCCGTTTCAAATGCACCTTACAATGCCATGTTCATGTACGAATGGGATACCTAATGACAAACTGAGCGGAACAAAACAACATGTACACTGTTCTATATGACGTCAAATCCTAAATATAGTTAGGCATCATAGTTCGCCCGTGACCATAGACCGATATTAAACTCAAAAGAATTGTATAAACTTTGGAATGCCAATAAAAGTTTAGGTATTTTTATTGCTTACCGTAATGGATATATCTTGGTCATGACATAGCATGTGGTCAATTATGATGTTTCCTGTTTATTTTTCGACTATTCGTGTATTTGAACATAGGTATATAGGTCACTGATGTAACTAATTTTGGCGAAAACATACGCATACCTATACATTTTTGAAGTAAAGGGAAAATGTTCAAATTCGTCTCCCGATCAGGATGGCGGAAGGGAGTGTCAGCCTCTTGCTGACTAAAATTCCCACCGTTCCTTCTCCTGCTCTAGGCGGAGGCCGCGCCTTATTGCGCTTGCCCCGAAACATCAGCCCTAATAAGCCCCGTCTGTGGATCCACGCATATACGTAGACCACGAATCGCAAGTTCTGAATCAACACAAAATACAACACTAGTCTCATTTTATCCAACGTGTTAAATACCACACATAAAGACTTAAACAAATATTACAAATAACTTTTCCCGCCCTGGCTAGGTGGAGATGGAGTGTCAGTCCCCTACTGACTAAAACCCACCCCATTCTTTCTCCCTTTGCACGCCGGATCCACGGTACATTATGGCACTTCCAATGGCAACATTTTAATAATTCTTTAACGACATAATTAAGAAATATGTCGAAACTTTGATATAGTTACAGCTCAAGTAAAGTGACAGGGCATGGTATACCAGATCTGTCCAAGCATTCATTTACCTAGAACGTGGTCTGCCTACAAATACGTTAAATTGAACCACAATTTGCATTAATGTGACAACCATAAGTCTAAAAAGGATTATGTTGATATTTGTAAAATATAGTTATCTAAAGAATTACGGACAGTTAAACTGGTACAGCTTAAAAGATTAGCTTAAAATGTGCCTTTATTATAATATAGAAATGGCAATTTTGTGAAACTTTGTAATCAACTTGGATACAGGTATTTCCGCAATTGAAAATTACTTAATTCTTTGAAAATGTTGGTTTGTTAATGTTTCCTTAAAGGCTAATTATTAGTCCTACGTTTTTTGTAATTGAAATACTGTCTTCCATTATCTAGTTGTATATTTACGTGCGTACTGATGTGACCACGCAAGAATTTCTCATGGGACTCTTACAAATGATATACAGGACATCCATAAAGAGGTTTTTTTGTCTACCAAACAAATAATGTACGAAATGAAACTCTTTTACTAAGTAATAAGACATGTTTTCAAAATTAACTAAGTAATCCTGCATCTACTTTTACAAGTAGGTATATCCTTTACTATTTGTGAAAGAAAAGCAGTTGGTAGTATGTGTTCGATTTTTAAATAAAATCTTGTTGTGTCGGTAAAACAAAAGAAGCTACAAAATATTAATTTATATTAATTGTTACATTCTTTAGTCGTAGTGGCCCGGAGGTTAACCCCTTACCGCTTCTCATGCATGAGGGTGTGGGCTCGAATCCTGGCAAGTACCAATGTGACTTTTTAGGAGTTATGTGTACTTTCTATGATTATTTAGATACCACTGACATACGGTGACGGTAAACATCGTGAGAAAACCTGGACTTATAATTTCTAATTATAAGTTTGAAATCGCCAACCCGCATTGAGCAAGCGTGGTGATTAATGCTCTAACCTTCTTCGTATGAGAAGAGGCCTTTGTTCAGCGGTGGGCACTTATAGGCTGATGATGATGATGATGACATTCTCTAGAAGATTCCACTTACCTTACAAGTTCCTTGAATACAAATGGCTCGAAATCCTTGCCTGGTACAAGGTGTTCCATCCGCTACTAGTGATAAGGATGCGTAAAAGTGCTGTCCTAAAGGTCTGCAGTTCAATGTACATGGCGCATTACCTGCAGAAAAAAAATATTATTATTACACTTGATATTGGGAAAATACTAGTAAAAATATTATTCGAACCTACTGAATTGTATCAAAACTAGTCGGGGATGTGGGTACGAGCGCTATAAGGTACCGAGCCGGGATAAGAGACCATATCTTTTGATGATTTTCCCTTGCGATATTATAATCTATGATATTTCAGCAACTTCCAATTAACTAAAACCATTACCAAGATGTTTTGCTAGCATAAGCTTTAAAACTTCAACGACATAAAAGACAAAGAAACCAAACTATATTCGGTGTCAAAAAAACAAATGATGCACTCAATATTCGACGTTCGACAAATGAAAACAAAAAGAAACTGGCACATTAGAATTTATTAATGGCCATCTACAATTCAATTTTATCGTCGATATACAAAACGGGTTGCAATTCTGACAGATTATTGGCGCGCAAATTGACAGAACAAGCGTGTCAAATGCGCAGACAAGCGGTGTAATGTGTTAGATTAGCTGTCAACACACAATTAGTACGTTCTCTTTTTCAGTCGCAACTGTTTTGTTTTTGGACATTATGTATTTGTTAGTTCAAGGAAATCTAGCAAATAGTTTATCGGACTCATCATTTAAAAAAAAGTCGCAGTAATTTGATATTTACTCGCGATTGAAATCTGTTAACCGTTTCTTAATAAAATATATAATTATGAGAAGTATTTTAACTTAAAATGTTCACCAAGGAAAATAAAAACAATATTCTGACCTTAAGAGCCAACTTTTAAAAAGTTCTTGTTTGTATGTATGAATTCTGGGGACCGTGAGCAAGGGTAGCTAGTCGCCTGACCAGAACCAGTCCCGAGTGGATCGCGTTTTGTAATCATTTAATCACTATTACCTCTCAATGTGTTTAAAATACACACATGCATTTTTGTCAACCTTTATCTCGCGATTGGCTGAACTTTTTTGTAAGCCATATATAGCCAGCATATGATAAGCAGTAGGCGCTGCCCATAAATTTGCATTCCGGCAATGCACTAGTAACTTCTTTGGTTTTGCCGGTCTTTTCGAGATTGGGGACGGATTGGAGAAGAGGAAGAAAGATTGGGCCTCCAGTTACCTCACTTACACGGCGAAAAACAACGATGTGGTTCTTTCACTGCCGTTTGTATTCTGTAGAGCAATCATTAAATTCTGGTCAAGGCCCTCATGAAAAAATCCATTTTATGTTTTATGGTATAAGTCGGCAAACGAGCAGATGGATTACCTAATGGTAAGCAGTCGGCGCCGCCCATGGACACCCGCAACGCCAAAGGAGTTATGAGTGCGTTGCCGGCCTTTTGGGGATAGGGGTTGCGGATATAAGGATCAGGAAGGGATAGGGGAGAGGAAGAGATTGGGCCTCCGGCAACCTCACTCACACGGCGAAACACAACGCTGTGGTTGTTTCACGCCGGTATTCTCTGAGGCCGTGGTATCACTCCGGTCGAGCCGACCCATTCGTGGCGAAGCTTGGCTCTCCCACACTTAAAATAGCTCAAAAACATTTTATTTGGGTTAGAAATTTAACCCTGAACCTCTTATTTAAATGTCTGTCGCTGTCGCTCTTGTTACCACCACACACACAGATAAATTAAGAACCTACGTAAACAAGTTCTACTGCAAATACCAACATTTACGAGTTTACATTCATAAGTAACGAATGGCACAGCTTATGCATGTGTATGCATAATTTCATATTTACATCATTCGCTGTTTGTTGCGTTTTGAATATAAGGTCAATGACGGCTGGAAGTGGCTGTTAATTAATTGTATTGTTTTTGAAATATATAGTTTGTTATAACTTCTTCTAGCGGCTTCGCCTGTCATACAAGGGGAAAAACTTGGTTAACAATCCATCAATATTTGCAAACTTATACAAATAAACAATCCACCACAATACCTACAAACTTATTATTGGAATTAGCAAATAGCTTCACTAGAGGGCAGACCGACACACTGACACATAAAGTTTTGACTGCACGATTGGCGCGGTAGCTGGGCAAACTGGCTGCCACGCAACGTGTGGCCAGTTCGATTCCCGCACAAAACAACACTTTGAGTGATCCACAAATTGTTTTTCCGGGTCTGGGTGTATGTGAAATTGTTTGTTTGTAAACACACCGACGACACAGGAAAAATAATAGTTTAGGGCAACGTTATTTAAAAAAAAACATGTTTGACATTCAAAAGTATCTATTTGAAATTAATTATTTTACTTTGCCTTTGACTTTGACATGATGGTAGTAAATTAAAGCTAAGATAACCAACAAGGTTTACACTCTTGTAATTCAAAATATTCTAAACGCAATTTCAAATCCATCTTATAAGATATTAAGAATTTCAAACTCCTAAGATTCAATAACATAAACTCCAAGCCTAACAAAAAGTCTTCAATGTAACAATCAACTATAAATAATCAGAAACGTTAAAATTGTATACAAAAACTAGCTACTCTCGCGCGGTTTCACCCGCTGCTCGGCTCCATTTGATCGTAACGTGATGTTCTATATAGCCTACAGCACTCAGGAACATTGTAGCTATCTACCAGTGAAAGAATTTTGGCAATCCGACCAGCGCGGTAGCGGTTCCAAAGATTAGCCCCTACATACGAACTTAAAAATTTTACCTCTTTATAATATTAGTATAGATATAGATATAAGTAATTAGTACTAACCATCAATGTACGGGACCCAGGTATAAAACCTGCCACGGAATGGTCTCCTATCGAACGCTGCACACTGCGCCGCACGATTGCCCCTCGTTGCACCAGGACAGGGCTGTAACAAAAAAACTTTATTCATCATCATGTTACAATTATGTTTTATGGGAGCATGTATACATACGATTGTTAATTTTCGTAATGATAGAACAATATGAAATTTATGTGATTTTGATTCCTAGATTTTACTTGATAGATCTTTACAGGTCATCTTATTAAAAACATTTCAAACAAAAACCGTTGACAACACAATTAAAATCAAAAGAAAAGAAAAGGACGGAAAGACATGATAACAACCTCCTTATCGTCATTCAAGTCAAATACAGATGTCAGATCTGACCCGAGCTGCCAACAACTGTCCAGATTGTTTACAAAGTATTATTTATTTTATTTTAAATTCAAGTATCTTCAAATTTACTTATTTATTTATGAGCATATTTTTTATTATTTTAATGTGGGAAAGCCATGCTTCGGCACGAATGGGTCGGCTCGACCGGAGTGATACCACGGCCTCACAGAAAACCAGCGTGAAACAACCACAACGTTGTGTTTCGATGTGTGAGTGAGGTTACCGGAGGTCCAGTCCTTCCCCCCCCCCCCCCCATTTAGGGATTGAGCCCTCCTCAATCCCTAAATCTCCAAATCCCTAATTCCTAAAAGGTCGGCAACGCACTCGTAACTCCTCCGTTGCAGTTGTCCATGGGCGACGCTGATTGCTTACCAACAGGTAATCCGCCTGCTCGTTTGCCGAACCATTACATATTCTTTTTTTTTTTAAGTACACCTTTTTTTAATTTTCTACACAGTATGATACGAAGTTGGTACAAAAGGCGGATTTAATGCCATTTGTATTCAACCTTCGGATCAAGTAGGATAAACAGCGAAAAATAGGTACAGAAATATGTTACTAATACCGACTAATATAAAAAGTGGTAAACAAACAATATGCAATTTAACTTTATCTAACTACCAAATCTGATGTGTTCGTGATGGGTTCGAAACCTGACAAGTACCAATGTGACTTTTTCCGAGTTATGTGTACTTTCTATGATTATTTAGACACCACTGACATACGGTGAAGGTAAACATCGTGAGGAGACCTGACTTACAATTTCTAATTATAAGTTTGAAATCGCCAACCCGCATTGAGCAAGCGTGGTGATTAATGCTCTAAACCTTTTAAGTTATTTTTTATTCTTATTTTTATATTTCTATTTTTATATTTTTATGATTGGATAATCAATAAATTCCTTTTCTCACCCTGCGTGGGGCGTGTGTCACACTCTTACTGACTAACAACCACTTCGTTCCTTCGCCTGCTCCAGGTCGGAGCCGATGTGGTTGACCCGCTTCCAGTTTAGGTAAACTGGAAAACTGGTAGAAGTACCTCTGATCACATTTTTTAATTATTCTTTGTCAAATAGCAATTTAAAAGTCAGCATTTACACCGTCCGTGACTCAGCTAATTGAATAGAACAAGTGAACAATGCTAATCAAGAGAACTTTTACGATGTACAGACTCGTAAATAAGTATTCATTGCTCAGCTTGTAAGTAAGCACCCGTATAAAGGAATTCGGTACTTAATACCCTTTATAGCCGCCTGGCTATCGAACAAATTGTTGTTAATCATTGTAATACTGGCACTAGGAAAAAATGTGAAAATATTCCGTTTTTAGAATTGTATTCAAGATATATTTTGTTTAGCAGGTTATCATTTCAAGTATATGTGCTATATCGAGGAGGAATTCGCCAAAATTTAAGCCTATCCAGGCCGGCAAAGGGGTTGTATTCCCCTTCTCCTATCCCTTCCCAGTCCTTAAATATCTGAAACCGTTTTCCCTAAAAGGCCGGCAACGCACTCATACTCCTTTCGTGTTGTTAGTGTATATGGGCGGCACTGATTGCTTACCATCATGTAATTCACCTGCTCGTTTGCAGACCTATGCCATAAAAAAAGATGGCTGCCCTATTTCCCTGTCATGTGTCGAGTCCCTTACTCGGCTCTTATGAGAATTCTTTAGGATGGCGACATCGACAGTACTTTTACTTTGCAATTATATCAAACCGAAAATCTTCCATAGTGAATATTAAAATATTTTATTTTTACTAATTGTAAAAATAAAAACAACATCGGAAAAACGGAACATAGCAAGCAACTTCGATTTTTTTATTTTATTTTTTTTATTGATGAAAACATTGCCCCGCATTAGGATTTTCTCCTGTACGGTGGGGGTGCGTTTACAAACATACAATTTGACATATCCTTCACACTCAGACCCGGAACAACAATTTGTGGATCACACAAAGAGTTGTTCCGTGCGAGATTAGAACCCACAACGCGTGCAGTAATGATAGCTACATTTCCATATATGTAATAATTTAGCAGAAAATATCTTACAATATCATTGCACTCATGGTATCGTTTGTCGACTCCTTGGCAGTTCCGCTCATGTGTCTCCCGCGTAACTCTAACCGTGATCACAGGAGGAGGTATACTGCTGTTGTCCAGCGGAGGAATGTTCCTGACCCTGAAACAAATTGAATATAACTGTTAATTTAATTAATTTAAATTAATACTATAAAGAGACCATAGTAAACGATGAACTAGTTAGCACGATTCCACACAACACTCTGTGATTGAAACATTCTCAATAAATTAAAAAAAATCCTGATTATTCTTTAAACAACTCGGGAATCCAACCTCTTGCTTGACTCAGCCAATAAGGCCTTAGTATTTGGCAATACCACCACGTTATGAATGTTATGAATGTCACGCAATACTGCTTTTGAATATGAGCCCTGCTTCGAAACTATTCAAGTTGTCTCGACTAGTTTCGAAGCACGCCAAGGGCGCTGATGTTCAGCCGGGGTTGCGGGGTCCATTGAGGCACCGCGGCTACGGCCTAAAGTAGGAGAAGTAGGAGAAGGAACGAGGGGGTTTTAGTTAGTAAGAGTCTGACACACTCTCTCTTTCGCCTTACCCTGGGCGGGAAAATTGATTTGATAATTTTCCCTTGACAAAAAAAAACAAAAAGAAAATGTGCGAATATAGAAGTCTAATGTTCTCGTTTAGTATAATATTATTTCACATACAAAAAAAGACAGTAGCATAACTTTTTTACTAGGAAAACAATGTAAGTAGTCATTCTGTTTGTAAATATGAAATATGTACGCAAACATGTAACAATATCATCCGTTATGTTTTTATGCAAGTAAACGATGTTTGTAGAGGCTCTATTTACTCTCGTCCTCGTTACTTTTAGAAAATTTTTGAATGTGAGATATGTTTTGTGAATGTCAAACATGCTTTGTGACTAAAAAATTTACCTATGTTTTTTTATGGTTTATGTCCGCAAACGAGCAGACGGATTACCTGATGTTCATGGACACCCGCAACACCAAAGGAGTTACGAGTGCGTTGCCGGCCTTTTGCGATAGGGGTTGCGGATATAGGAGAAGATAAGAAGGGGAAGGGTCGAGATTGGGCCTCCGGTAACCTCATTCACACGGCGTATTAATATTAATATTATAATTTTTTTCTCCGCAATGCTTGTGTCCTAAAACTGTTACAATTTTGTCTCTTTTACTGAACGTTTATAATTGAGATAATACATATTTGAAACTGTTTACTTGTATCAAAAAGAAGAATACGAAAACGAGGTCTTATAGCCTTAGATGGCGTTAAACCTCTTTTTTATCTCCAGAACAAAGAGGCGTGATTCATAAAACGGTATAGGTATAGAAAGAGGTTGATATCTATTGAGTATTAAAATTCATAACTACTATTTAAATGATCTACAACATCTTATCTAGTAATTGTCGTGTTCGTAGTAACCGTCGTGGTGGCCCGGAGGTTAAGGAGTCCGCTTCTCATGCATGAGAGTGTAGGTTCGAAACCTGGCAAGTACCAATGTGACTTTTTCCGAGTTATTTTACTTATTTATTTAATTTTTATGATTGACACCACTGACATACGGTGAAGGTAAACATCGTGAGGAAACCTGGACTTATAATTTCTAATTATAAGTTTGAAATCGCCAACCCGCATTGAGCAAGCGAGGTGATTAATGCTCCAACCTTCTCCGTATGAGAAGAGGCCTTTGCTCAGCAGTGGGCACTTATAGGCTGATGATGATGATATCTAGTAATTGAACCAACGCAAACATAACTACAACCACGTTAGAAACCAACGACTATTTTCTTACAACAACGAGGCAACCCTAACTAATAAATTACCCTCAAACATGTCAATATTAATTAAAAATCATAAATCTAACGTTGTAATTACGTTAATATATTATATCTAAGAAAACAGAACAAAACATTCGAGCCGGTAAACACAAAAAGCTTCATTAATGAAATCAACCAAGCCGCTAACAAATACCAGAAAACACGTTAATCTAATTTGGTGGTAGTAAAAATAAAAGTTAGTGATGTATCGTCGAAATAGTTCCACATTACCGGGCGGACCTTACAAATGTAAGTCCACTTATAAAAGGACCAGAACATTAATATAATGTAAACTCAAGCACGAATTTGAATATTCATGTTCACGGACCAAGATTAGTTCCGCTTTTACAGTTATCTAGAGTCTTTAAAAAGATAAGTTCAAAGCTTCGTTCTTGGCGCCATTAAAAAGATGACACCTGAAGATTAGTTTATTGAAGTTTGTAATTAAAAGAGATGGTTGCACGCTGCAATGGTGTTCCCTATCTGAATGCAACTTCTTAATACAAATTAAACGATTACGTTTTATCATCTTACATGGTAAGGGGATGTTGTAAAGGCGTAATATGAACTCCGTTAGATGTATGGAATTCCTTACATTGATGCAGCTTTAAAAAGTAAATGGTCTTCACTATGTAACTGATTTTATTCGCATATTTATTAAATATGTATTGATTGGCTCATAACGCACGCTTCCCTACGTCTTTTTCAGAACAATTCCATAGTATTCCATAGTATCGTACCTATCATTAGTAATTTTATTAATCTTTTGCGACAGAAGTCATACATACATTTTCTTCGTCATCATTATTATAACTTCAATCCAGGTTCACTTACGGATAAGTATAAACCTGTTTCTAAGCATAGGCAAAAAAATTCATTGACACTATGTTTAGGATCACTCAATTCGGAAATGAAAAGACGTCACTCTTTTTTATCGATTCTTATATTTTTCTAAACACACTTCACGTAGATTGCATAATAATAATAAACAGTACCTATGTGCCACTGTTTCTGTATTATACTACATTATACTAATAAATAAATTAATAATATTTTCATATTTTGTTTTAACTTAAAATATAGACGAAGGCATTCTAAACGAAATCCTATCACTAGTTCTTAATTCCATATGATCATTCATTGAGGACCAAGAATCTTTGGTGTTAATAAACGTGTTACTTCAACAAAAATAGAACATGATAGAACATATTTTCCTAGAGCTACAAGAAACAGATAACCAGTAATAATTTATACATGACTTTATTGCCCGACCAAATGTAATGTGCGTGCGCTCCACCAGACTTCCATGACAAATGACATCCATCCTAATTTGTCGAGCATGTTATACGATGTATTATCAGCAGGATACCATCGACCGTCCGTCTGTGCATCTACATACATATTTAGATATGAATAAGTAGCTCTATTTCCCTTGAGCAAGTTCCCTTGAGCAAGTTGAAAAACAAGCGTCCAAGGCACGATGATTCCATTTCGACGTTCAAGACAAGGTTTATATGACTTTCTTTAAACTGTCTCATTCTTAAAGGGGGTGACATTATTCCATGTCTCTTTCTGCCCCGGGTAAGGCGAAGGGGAGTCACAACATCTTACTAAAACCCTGTTCAATCTCCTACTCCAACAAGCCTAGCCGCGATGCCATTGCGCTTGACCAGCAAACCTGGCCGGTCATCCATTTGCCTTTTGTTACTACCTTTATTAGGACACAGGACTATAGTCTACTAGGGGCATTTAGGTAAATCTATGTTCAAAAAATTGATCAAATTCACTAGAGCTGTTGGAACTTTGTTCGCGAGCGAAGCTGGGATTGTCCGCTAGTGACGATATTTAATTAAACCCTATTATAGAATATAGAATATCGCATTTGATTAATTAAATCATTATAGATACTGTATTTGTAGTTAGATCTGTTCTACTACAATGTTGTTTCGTGATGCAGATAATCTCTCACCTTATCTTAAACACAGCTCGTTAGAAAATATAATTTATTATTCGAATTTAATACCTATATTGTTTTTGTAATTTAGATCTAATTTCCTACTTTATAAAGTACCTATGTACAATTTAATTAGATATTGTGTATTTGATGATTTTATAATAAAACAGGAGTGGTCCTTTGATCCGACGATTGACGACATTTCCTGGAAATTCTATGTCTGTACTTCAGAAATACCCAAAATTTTCATTTGAGTGCGGTTTTATGAAAGAGGTTATTTTGTACAAGTTCAAAAAACGAAAATGGTATATTAAAATCGGTATCCTTGATCTTAGAATTAAATAAATCGATTCTACTTGCTATTTCTCTGAAAGTATTCGTATTAATTTAGTTTCTCTTTCCATACGTAACGCTACACGTTAGCACTACATGACAGATACGTATTTAGTCTAGTCTGGTTCGAGACCGTTAAAGCGCGGCGCCGCTGGCGGCACCCACTAATTAAGAGTGACGGTATTTTGATTACCTACTTATCTATCTAACAGGACTCCGTATCTGGCCGTATTAATCCTGGATCCTCGGCTCGTTACAATTATCTCGGTTCAAGCATTCATTTGTACGTAAATAGCCTGACCTGATTACCACTAACGGTTCAAATAATCTGTTTGGATTATTAATTACCATTTGACTGATGGATACAACGCTGGTATTTAACAAACCTTTTTAATTATCATTTAGCCTTTTGATATTCAATTTAAGGGTCATTTAGGTGCTAATATCGGATTTGTGAACATAAATCTCAGTCAGACATTCTTCGGTCGCCACATTGACCCGTGACTAGCACTCGAACCTCGCCAGCCGCCATGGGAATCGGCCCCCGTGACAACACTACATTCAACTGACGTTCTGACGTCAATTACCACATGTTAAAAAAGCAATCCCTCATTAGCGCTGCAACTACAAATATGTAGACAAAATGAAGTTTGTCTTCTTTTAAAATGGACGGTAATCGCGAGCTCATTACCGGCTATATTGGAGCTGATGCGTGTCAATCAAGCGGGCGAGTGCAAGCAATCAATGCTCCCAACAATAACAGCTTGTTACAAGCCACGCTACGGGGTTACCATTACCTTAATTTACACGATAAAAACCGTACGAGTCGGGTCGCGGGGCATGTTTAACCTTTAACCTGGGCACACGTTAGACGCTTTTACACTTAGCGAATATTTGATGTGGCTCTTAACTGAAGAGTAGCCAAGAAGTGTTTTCGAATAATAGAGTGACAAATTAATTTTGTATTTGTACTTAGAACTTTATATAAAGAGAAAGGAGGTATTAAATTGAATTGAACAATTCATTGGTCTGTTAATAACAGTTGTAATAAGCTCATGGACTTCTGTAACCAATCGGTACGGACATTAATTTGGACACTGTCAAAACATATTAGTTCGATTGTGATTTTGAGATTCCTTTCCCTATTTTTTGTAACGTGTAGGACTGATGTCAATAGCGGTTATTGTGAGACTCCTGTTCCGGTGCGAATGGGTACATATAAACTTTTTATTATTATTTGGTTGGTATTCTGCCATGTGTCCTAGGCCTTTAAATAAATAACTAAACGAAGGATACCGGATCACGAAGACAATTAATGACTGGAGTACTCAATTAGGGTAATCTCAACATTTAAAAAATAGTTGTTACCTGACTAGCTAGAATGGTGGGGTAAGCGCAATAAGTCACCGCGGCCTCGGCTTAGAGCAGGAGAAGAAACGGGGGCGTTTTTAGTCAGTAATAGTTTGACACTTGCTCTCGCCATACTCTAAGCGAGAGAATTCATTCGATGATTTTGAAAGAACCCTACACTGACTAATAGACCACCAACATCAAAGCTAATAAAATAATTGCGGCCACCGAACTGATTCAGGTTCAAACGCCGTCAGATCACTAAATTGCATATGTCAACCGTTTGATAAACGCAAATGAGATAGATCGAATCGCCGATGACAGCCGAATGCCACCGAAGTCGGGGCCGAAGCAATCTTAATTAAACACTTGAATATTTTCTAGTTGATTAGAATTTTTGTACTGGTTATAGAGAAGGTACATAGTAAATCATACGCCTATTTGCTACTGGTACAATTATTATTATTACGTACTGACAGACGTTAATTGATAAGTGGAGCATGCTCAATGGAGTCGGATTCGTGTTTTTTATTTCGCAACTGATTTTGTTTCGGTGTGTTTGTTCGTCTGTGTTGTTAGTGATTGGTATGTAGGTATGTTTATTTAAAGCAAGTTTGTTTTAGCGCTTGATGTACTAGTACTATGTTAGGTAAAACTGCGAATTTCAAAAAATTAAAATTTCAAAAAATTTAAATCTTGAATTTCTTACTCCAAATTCGCTTATGAAATCATTCAGTCCTACAGTAATCTATAGATACTCAAATACAGCTGTAGAGTTTGTTTGTTTAAACGCGCACATCTCTAGAACTACTGGTTCAAAATGAACAATTAAGGATGGCTACAATCTATAAAATCTATGAGCTGTAGGGGCCGAGCAGCGGGGGAAACCACACTAGAGTAGCTAGTTACTATTAATTATAAAATAGAAGTAACAATGATAAGATTCAAGATTCAATGTTATCCCGATCCGATTAATCTGACAGTGTAAAGCAGGCTTAAAGTATTAATTTAATGGCCGTGTAAAATATTAGTGTTTAAAATTTTTGCTTTACGCGCATTACATTGTTATGAGATCTTAACGCAGTCTGATCGCTGTCGGCCCCGGCGCCTTCTCGGGTAATTTGTTAACTTATAAACGGTTATTTTATCATTATATTATTATGTAATCGTGCGATGAAAATCTTGGAAATCAATGATGTATTTAGGTAAATTTATGCACCTAATGAGTCTAAATATTATTTCCTTTAACAGATATATTTTTAATTTAAGAATGTTTATAATAATGGCGTTACTAGTCTGTCACCTGATTGTTAATTAAGTTACATAAATTTTTGAACACATAAACTCATTGTCAAACGTTTATCTATATCCTATACCTTCATATAAGGAATCATTACAAAGGACATGTATGTGAATTGCATGAATCAGATTTTTTTCTTCAACTTAAATGTTGAAGACTTCAGCTACACAATCAAAGCAATTTAATAACAGAAAAGTCTGTTAAGTACTCTTTCACGTAAAAGTACTAAATGGTTCTAAATGGAATTTTAACTTAGAGATAGATCAAATTCTAGAAAAGTAGCTTATATGTTATACAGGGTGTCCGGTAAAGAATGGATAACCTTGCAGTACTTTTAAGTATATCTTATGGCCATTCAAAAAATATACAAAAACAAAAATAGGATTTTTTTTTTTATAAAAAACTTGTAAATTAATTTATTATAGACAAATCGTGCAAAATTTATTTTTAAAGCAATGTTTAATCATCGTGGTAATGCAGTAATGTAATGAACGTAAATGTTAAAGGATCATTTTGTATGACCTCTAGCCCCAGTTGTTTTACTTCAAGACATAATAATTTAGGTACTACCTATGATACTTTCCTTTTCGTTGTTTTTTCTGAATGGCCAAAGGATATACTAAAAGGCACTTCAAGGTTATCCATTCTTTACCAGACACCCTGTGTATAAACACATAAGCTACTTTTACTGTACGGACGCTGACAGAAACTAATATAGACTCTGACAAGATAGGTCACTCATCTAAGTTAGCTACCTACTGATTGCGGTAACATTATTGTCACAAGTACAAAGCGGTTCGTCTCCAGTTTTATAATCAGAACTGCTAAGGAGGGGAATTCTTTGCCAGAGTCTATGTTCCCTGAAAGGTATAACCTGAAAGGTATAAGATTGCTTATAGATCGGCGTGCTCCATCGTAGGTCGCATTTACGCTTACAACCAGGGCCTCGAGTCTTCTATTACAATATTCTCAGAATTAGATCATTGGTTTCAAAATTGTTGATTTTGACAAGTTTGGCAATCTACTAACACGATAGCGTCATTATGACTTTCCAATGCCATTTCATTGAAATAATTCTTTAGAACGGTAATCTCGTACATAATGACAAATGAATATTTGACATAATGCGGTAAATTAATAAAAATAATTCAGTCCCTTTGTTCAATTATTTACGTTTTAATGAATGTGCAGTTATTGTTTATAATTCGTTACAAGACATCTCTTACTATAATTATATTACGACATCGCCGAACGCCAATGATCAGCCATTTTAAATTAACAGATTACGAACTTTTAGCAAAATGACAATGGAATCGTGTAGGAATGACAACACTTTGAAAATAGTAGACTCGGGCCCCTGGCACGATGGCGGCCAAATGCTTGCCAATTACGAAATAAAAAAGTCTTGGGGACATTACCTTATAATAGTAGATATTAATCATGATTCGTCAAAGTAAATACTACTCAAAAAAGTTATTTATCGTCTAATAAAGTCTAGAGTTTGTAGGCACGTTAAATACGAAAAAAAGGTTAATTAAGCAAAAAGTCTTTATTTTTTGTTGATATAAGTAAACCAATTGACGTTGTAAGGTTATGTTTATCTTACTTTTGAGTTAAAAAATATTGAGAATTTTTCTAAATATTTGTTTTCTCGTACCTTTCTTATTTAATTTTAGAACGATTATTTTTATTAAATTAGTATTTTTATTTTATTTATATTTTTTTCTTTAACCGCATCATGTTCAAATTAATAAATATTGTATTGTAAACAATCGATATTGTGGTTTTTCTTCTACAACCTTCTACAATCGTTTACCTTACAAGCAAGAAAAAAATGCTTGTAGGTACAAAAACAGTAATGTGCTGGCAACGATTTAAAAACACACACATAGCGACATCTATCGGAATAATTACGAACTATACGAAACTTGTAAACCCCACCTATCATTGTTTCTTCTTAAAACTTAAGGTTTATAATTCTGGAATTAATATTTGTATCAAATTTACCTGGGTAAACATTCTCTATGCTGTACGGAGACACCTCCTCCGCAGCTCCTGGAGCATGCACTCCAGCTGCTCCACGCACTCCAAGCGTACTCCTCACGTTCCACATCTACCTCATTGTCTCCTTCCAACTTCGTCTCCTGGAAATATTAGAACTCTTATTGGTAAATTTGTTCCATTTCTTATTTAGCCTTATCATTGCTCACAGGGCCTTTTTCATGTGTCGTAAGTTACATCATACCCAGATCAGGTTTAATATTTGCAGATTCAACAAAATGTTGAGCTGTTTGTAAAAGTCTATTTTTGATCTACACCTTTTTTGGTTCTTAATTTTATATCTGCTTTGTCTTTGATTCGTTTCAAAAACATTTCTTTTGGGAATTCTTTTCCAAACTCAATAAATTGTTTCCTTACAGCAGTGCATAATAGTTCTAACAACCAAAGTTAACTTATAGCTTTACCAAAACATTTATTAAAAGTTAAAATAAAATTACCTGTGCTAATTCTGTAGTGCCTGTTGTGGTCGTTAAATTCGTCGCTGATGACAACATAGCAATTTGAACTATAACTAATATCCTGGAAAAGAAAGATAACAATTTATTTTACAGACTAAAAATCACTTATAAGCTAACAAACCTTCCTTATAACATGATTAAAACTTATAGGAAGTACATAAAACGTCTAGTTAACGAGGAACTAACAATGGACGATAAATTCTATGACAGTTTAACAAGCTGAGAAAAATGGCTAATCTCAGATCATGTAGACCCTCCTTCAATTTGTCAGTCTAGCTATAATTCAAGCTCATACAATTTACGGCTCTCACGGATAACAGGTAATCGAACTCTTAATACACAAGATAGTCTGAAACCAGCGACCATGATCTTACACGGCTAAATCGGTGGGAAGTTTGTAACACTTTGTTTATCATTTACCTGATTTGGACTTTATATTTTAGGGCTGGCACTAAAAAACCTATTGTAAGGACATTTTGAATGACAACACTGTAGAGACTAGAAAATAAGTTAGTTTTTCCGACCCTGTATCTGTCTAAACTGAAGAGTTTGTTTGTTTCAACGTGCTTATCATCGGAGTTACTGGTTCGAATTAAACAATTATTTTTGTGGCACTTATCGAGGAAGGCTTCATAATATGACCCTACGTTACGACTAATAGCAGTTGTAGCCGAGGAACGAGTAAAACCACGTGGGTAGGCCTAGTCTATACTAATATTATAAAGAGGTAAGATTTGTAAGTTTGTATGTAGGGGGTAATCTTTGGAACCGCTGGTCGGATTGCCAAAATTCTTTCACAGATAGATAGCTACAATGTTCCTGAGTGCTATAGGCAATAAAACATCACGCTACAATTAAATGGCACCGAGCAGCGAGTGAAACCGCGCCAGAGTAGCTATTCTATTATAAAATTCATATTACAATGTTAAAAACATACGTTTTCCACAAACCACTTTGTTGAAGAAAAGTAAACACGTTTAAATTCTAACATCTGTATACAGATGCATATCAAATAAAAGCACGAAAGCATCAACAATGTAAGTCATCGGGTCATCGGTGATTGGTCGCGGACAGCCCTGTGCGGTGTGCGCCCACGCAGTTCTCACCGCGTTGCGCAATCTGACAACTCCATTAGACGGTTGAGGCTGGAGCGAGCAACACCGCTCGAATGCACCCGCAACGCACTCCACATTAAAACGATCAAACGACTCTGTAAAACGCCCTAATGAACGTCTTAAGTGGTTTATTAAGTGCCGATCGCCGTTATTTTTATGTTAAAATCACTTCGTCTACTACGGACACATGAGAAATAATTTCGACTCTGAAGTGTCCCCTCTATGACGAAATTTTAATGGCCCCAAACTATTTGCAAGTTTATCGTCATAAATAACCAACATTATAATTTTATATCTATGTAATTTATAGCTTTATTTTAATTGATTTATAGCTAAAGCCAGCCCCAAAGCGAAAACTTGAAAGCTTGCTAATCAACAATTTAAATTTTTCAAAATAAATGTACAGAGTTATTAGTCCACTTGATTGATACACGCCTACTTGGCATACGGGTAATAGAACCAATTAAAAATGCAACACTCTACAGCTCAAACATACAGATACAAATCAAAATTAACAATGATAATTAACATTAACTAATGGCTTTCTTGTAAAATAAATATAAACATGTCAATAGTACTAATTAGATTTACGCCGGCGACTGGCGGCGCGCGGCGGCCCGACCGCGGCCAATTGAGCGCGGAAACACGCGCAAAGAATAACGCTTTATAAGGTGATGAACACATTTGAAAATAAACAAGAGAACCTACAAGGAATTATGAGGTCGTTAGGGACGTCTTCACGATCTCGTCGAGAGGATGTTTATTTGACTTCCCAGGCATTTGAACAGCAAGCTCAGCGTTACTGTATTCAAATTACAGATTACGTTCGCAAATATATAAACAATCCATCCGATAACTCCATACGAGCCTCATCTATAAAGGCATAAAACATTCAATAGCGTAGTGTGATATAAGCTTTACAGAAATAAACAGACACGCATGGCCGCAGACAATTTTAGGAGCTTCATCACATTGATTTGTGTCTAATTGTTATGTCATTGCCACAACTCGGTGAATAAAAGACAAAAATAGTCTCCAGGTCAGTATCCTTGTTGTGGACATAACAGCGCATAATAAAACGAAGCGCTTTACTTTACGAAGTTTGTTCAAGAGGACTGTTATCTAAGAATAATTGCATCTACACAGGTTACAAATGGACACAATTCAACACTGCTATAAACAGTTAGATGCACTTGTGTACCGCCCCGGGATATTGGCCGTTACGGCTTAAACCGTCGGTAGTGAAATAACTTGTCGTTTATGGGACTTATAAAGCCGCTAGCAACATAAACATTGTCAACACACAAAGTCATTAAACAAAATTCGGTAGTTGGCTACCATTTTTGGGGTCCTATTAAAATGTTTGTCTCAAACATTGGTATGTGTGGACTTGTACTAGATACGGCGGACAAAAGACATAAAATTAACTGACATCATGATTAATTCAGTACGCGGGCTTAATTACGAGACAGCCCTACGCGGGCCGGGGTCCATAAAACCTGTTTCTGAACGCATAGGTAGGAGAGTAACATGTAAAGGACAATATTAAGATCACGGGGCTTTGCTCTTGACCTTATTTTTTTATCCTGGCCCAGCGCGTGCGCCTTCGGAGTGAATGGGCCGTATAATTTCTATTTACTTTTACTATCAAAGGACTTTCAAGTAGTGATCATAAAAAGTTTACCGTTTGAACACGTAGGAAAATATTTATTGTGGACAAATGTTTCTACAACGGTCTTTGTGCATGTATTTAGTTGGTCATTGTGTGGCCAGTTCACACGGTCAGAGTGACAGGAGGGTCCTTAATCGGAAGGCTTTAACTAAATTAAGTGGATAAATAAATAGTGGAACTGTAGTTATATTTTTAGTCTTTTACAACGTACGAAAAGTTTCGTTATTTTTTTAGCGCGTCAAATGGGTTCGTTGTCAATCTTATTATTATCTTTTGGTCTTATGACTTTCTTAAGGCTTAAATTATTTATTTCTTTAACAGCTTTAGTATTGCGTGAAACTCGTCGACTTCTCCATTAAACATTAACATCAGTAAGCTGTTTAACATAATAACTAATCACATTATTCTTATTGACCAAGGAACAGTCATTTTAATAGCTCTAAATCCTAGATTAAAGTTACCGGAGGCCCAATCCTTTCCCCACCCCGATCCCTACCCATTTCAAAACCCCTTATCCCCAAAACATTGGAGACGAACTTGCAACTGTGTAGTGTTGTCTACGACCGCCACTGATTGTTTAGGTACATCAAATAATCCATCTGCTCGTTTCCATTTGTATCACATAAAAAAAAAACAACAGCTTAACGTTTGTGGCAATTCTTATTGCCAACCTCGCCTAGATTTTAGGGCTACATTTACATCTGTGTCTACCATGTAGCACTTTATAATGAGCAAAAACTTACGAAAAGAACATACAAATATATAAAAAAAAACAAGCATAACAATAGCCCGTTACATAAACGATTACCAATGATCGACTAACCGTAATTCTCAGTTCAGAGTTGATGCGTCATTTCTAAGGGACCTACTTTTCACCTCAATCCAGTAAAGGCCATTAATGTCACATTACACGTCACTAGCTGGGAGGTAATCTGGTGTAATCACGTCTACCATGACGAAGGAGATCGCGTATGTACCGTAATCTAGTGATGTGACTTTGTCCACTTCCCGTTGTTGGTTAAGTAGGCAAATAAATAGAATGCAATTTAGCGTGACTCGATTATTGAATATTTTTTAAGTGAGGACAAAATCATCAAATGTTTTCTCTCGGGTAAGGCCAGAGGAAGTGCAAGACTCTTAACTGTCTTACTGACTAAAAACTCCCATTCGTCCTCTTGTTGTATGTCAAGGCGCCGGTGCCTTATTTATTTATTAAGAATATTTACATATACAACATTACACCTTTACCTTACGCCATTAAGTTGTATTGTTAATTTTATATAAATACTATTATCTAGGTACTTAAAAAAAAACTTATTAGGATTAAATACAAGAAAAACAATACAAATTTAAAAAGCAAAATAAAAGTACTTAATACAACTGAATAACAAGATTGGTGATCATAGTAACCTTAAGTACACTAAAAAAAAATGTATTGCGCTTCGCCCACAAACCCGGCTGAACATCAGTCCTTTTGGGTGAATTGGCCCATCTGTGGTGGTCTAACTGGCGGAACGCAACGCGTCTTACGTTTGGGTCTTCCCGCGCTTCGTCTACTCTCGCCCTTTTGTGTATTGAAATAAGAATTAATAGACGAATATTGTGTATCTCTATATCTCATTGTATATTTATGTACAATATTTAAGTTATTTACCGTTTTATTTACCTATGTCACCTGCCACTCTCATCTTTCCATCACCAAAAGTCGGCTGTTACAAAATTTTTAGGGCAAAAAAGCCGCCTGTACATTTTATTTCGATCTTTAAAACTGCTTCAGTCGTTTTAATAACTAACCTAAAACTTTTTGTTCAGGAATCAATTGACTTTGAGGTCCCAGAGTCAGTAGTTGTAGTAGTAAACTACAAATGGCATACTACTGGATGTTATTGAGGAAAATAATAATAAACATGGCTGATTTACAAAACCTTAATATCGCCGTTCATCATCGATTATAAAATGATTCCAGAAATTGGTCAAGGTCAAATACTACGTAGTGTAATATATTTTTCGAATACGTACAGCACTATATTGTATACAAACACATCAGCTGTTTTACTGCAACGAAAACTTCCTCGTAACATCCGCAAGAACCTCGTAAAATAAATTAATAAAACAAATTTAACATATCGGACATCGTTGCGAATACCTTGAAAAATACAAACAACACTAACAAGACACATTTGCCCGGTAACATTTGCCCGGTAACATTTGCCCGGTAACATTTGCCCATTTACGTTTGCCCGTCGAACAAAATAAGATAGTGCTATGCCTGCGCTCACAAACGTACGTTTTGCTCGTAAACGTACCCTTACGTAAGATTTATTGGATATTAAATTGTAAACGTACCCTTACGTAAGATTTATTGGATATTAAATTGTAGTCTTGCAGTTTGATGCTCGGCGAATTACTTTTGTTGTAACTTAGCCCTAAATAATTAATATATTCCTATGTCTTAACTGGAACATCCTATTATTGCATATCTTAAGAATCTCACTAGGGACTAGTAAAATAAGGATACGGTTTGCATTATAGAAATTTCCATTAAGCCATAAGAAACTACTTTGAATCTTATATTTCCTTACTTAAGTTGTAATTAATATATTTAATTGTAATTAATAATAATCAATGATTATTTCCCAGTCGCAGTTGATGTCTATTCTCGATAATCCGAAATTAATCTGTACTCAAATTGCTATTCCGTACTTTAAAACTTTTACATGGGTACCAAATTAAACCTTAACAACAGTGGCTGAAAACCCATAATAAGTTTTCTAATTATACTACACATACAAGGAAATTAAACACAATACTTACCTAAACAACCTTTTACCAAGAAAATATATTTTCTTCTCCATTTTACGACTTCACTGTAAAATTTTATTGCGTATAAAGATACACTTGTCTGTCATTTTATTGACTAACGACAGATTAATGGATTACTTCTTGAATGGAATAGATTTATGGTGTCTCGAAATATGGGTTGTTGAACACCAAATTGTTCTTGTCACCTCACTCCACATATTTTGAACACCATGGTGATGTCACATCCAATTTCGTGGTTCCTAGCATGGTTTCTGTAACAATGAGAAGGCAGGTTAATTGCTACTATCGTGGCAAAAGAATGGAAATACTTATGGAATAATAACTTTCAATAGAACTCATTTTTATCCTTGACAATATGATTGCTTTTATACTTTTTAATTCATAAAATTAAATCGATTTTTTAACATAAAAATTAACCCTTATATTTTAAAGATCAAAGTCGGTAATTAAGTGAAGAATTTCTTTATGAAAAAAGTATTAAAATGTATAAAATACATCTGTACTAATATTATAAAGCTGAAGAGTTAGTTTGTTTGAACGCGCTTATCCCCGAAACTACTGATTCGAATTTAAATTTTTTGTGTTTGTAAGTCCAGTCGTTAATTCCTTTACCGAGGAACGCTACAACATATTTCGCTACGATCAAATGGAGCCGAGCAGCGCGTGAAATCGCACGGAAGTAGCTAGTAATAAGTAAATTTATATGTATATCCTATGTTGGTCCTAACCATATTCAATAAACGAAAACCAAACTTCAAAAACCAGGAACAAATACTAAAACAAAAGAAAAACATTTGAAAACCGAATTTATTTGAACGCAGACAAGCATTGTTTTCGAAGCTTTTCCAGACAATTCAGGCGTGTGAAAGAAACAAGAGATCAAAATTTATGGCACGTAAACTATGCCTTTTTAGCAACACATTCCTAAATTAATGCTATTCCAAGGTGAAGTGAACTACCACATTGGAATGTACGAACATAAGATAATTTAGTCTCATCAAAATTGAGTATTACGACTTCAGTATGTGACATAATAAATACTAGGCAAATTCCTTTCATACAGAACAATGTTATGGCTTCATGTAAACACGTTCGCGGGTTAAAAATATGTGACCGGTAGATGTTGTTAGGAACAAGAAATTTAGTTGCGCGGAAATATACAAGCTGGAATTTCATAGCTTATACGCTGTTCCTTTTACTAAAGAATATACAATAACAAAATTACTTATGATATACACTTCGATATTATACACCTTTCCTCACTTATGTGAAGAGTTCTATCTATAATATAAAAATAAGTTGGTAAGCGCATAACCCAACAACGCCTGGACCAATTTTGCTAATTCTTTTTTTGTTATGTTCGGTATTATTAGGAGAAGGTTCCTATCAAAGAAAATATTTGAAAAGTAGAGGGGAAGATTAGGAAAAAGTGACCCTTTGATACCGAGATAGTTGGACCCGTGCAAAGCGGGGGCGGGCCGCTAGTTTAAAATATTATAATGGAGATGAACTCATTGTTACATTTAGGTATCACCCAATGCTTTCTTTCCCCATACTTTCTTGCCCAATCACGCAAACACAACGTCATGTTCGAAAATGTTGTGAACGATTAGAAAAAAATAAATCAAATAATATTACAGCTTCATCTACATTTTTTATAAGTATAAATATTTTTAATGTGTAAAAATGTATTTACAAAAAATAAATTCATTATTTGATATTGTGTCAATAATTTCACTTGACTTTTTTTTCATAATTCGTAAATAAACTTTTACATTTTTATTATAACCATATAAATAATAGATTAACACGTATTTATCTAGCCTAGCAACTACGTTATCTACTTGGGAACATAGTAAATACTGCCAGCAAATATTGTCACACTGCATAACCAAATATTACAACATCTGTGCACTATGTCAGTATGTTACCTCCTTGTTATCAATTACACGTGGGCTCAACAAACAATTCCCTAGTATTACTTAGGTTACGAGATAATTAAGACACTGTAACACTGATATAATTAATGAAAAAAGAAATATTGGAATCGATATAAACATCAGTTATTTTATTTTATTTTATAACTTTTGTCAAGGGTTTTTACTGACTGGTGGTAACAAGGATTTTAGTTATATACTGATTTACGTGTTTATTGATCTATATCAAACTAAAATTTCATTAAAATCTATGCAGCAGTTTTGGAGTAAAAGTTTCACAGACACTCATACTAACAAGCACAAATTGTTCTATTGTAAGCAAGCACACATTCCCATTATAATTACTGTTTAATGAATTGTTTAGTTAGGTGTAAAAATTATCACTTATCATCACACTTCGCTTTCATAGTTCCCAGGTCATTGACCTCTTGACGGAAAACCGATCTGATCTTAGTATTTCCTTTAATGTAAACAAAAATATTTTGTTCAGTTCATTCAACACACTTTTCACAGAAGCTAACACGTGCTTCGAATTAAGGTACCTTCACAATACCTTATCATTCCTCCCGCGCCGTAGTTAAGGTAAATAACGAACTAAACTGGGTCATAACGCAACCGAATCTGACATACAAATACACACACATTTCACTCGAGAATATTAAGAACTAACAGAAAAAAACATCGTTAATAAATTCAATCTATATAACGCACTATCTGTATCACGTAAGAAACATAACCACGGCCATTAATTATATCCATATATACAACATTTTACGATAAAAATAAAAATAAAACAGCAATAAAATATCAATAATAAACTTACCTAATCTAACTGTGATTGCCAATATAACGCCTACATTAAATAATACAGAAGACAAGTCACTGAAATAAATTTTGAGCCAGCATTAACACTTCTATTTTCAAATTTTAGGTTTTTGTATTAAAAGGAGTTTTTTTTTATTATAGAGGTGAAACTAGACGCGTGTCTAAGGGCAGTATTACGCGACGAGCATACGCGTCGCCCGATGTACGCGCGATCGAGGTGCTTTCAGCAGACTGGACATTGAACGCATCCGTAACTTCCAAAGTGTATGGATGAGAGTACTTCGTTGTTACACAAGGAAATCATTCCTAGCCCTTGCCGCCTGACAACTCATTAACCGGCCGCAAATTAATTACCGCAACAATCAAGAGCAAACATTTTTCAAATTCGAACACAACGGAATTCCTTTAAATTTAAATAAAAAACGATAATTTTACTTTTATTATTTTTAATGGAACGATAAACTAGAGGTACGTGACGCATGTTATTCAGGAATAATAGACAAAAATTTGATTGGTAATAAAAATAGAGTTCGTGAACCGAATCGAGAATCGACGTTTGGTTATTCGCATTGCAATAATGTCGTTTATCATTCAATTGTTAAGCGGGCATTAATGTCGGTATCAATCGAGTATTGTTGTTTTGTGTATCGTGGCTAGGCCGCAGCTAATTTTTGCGGTTACTAACTGAACTCAAATATTGTGTAGGACCAGTATCCGCGGATATTCTTCACATATGATGTAACCGAGTCTTTAGAATCGAGATTAATTGTACAACTCGTTCGTTTGATAAGAATAACAGATTCGTTTTGTTATTATTTGAATGTTTTTGTGATTAAAAATGTATCTACTACGTGAGAAATAGTGATATTATTTAAGATACAAATTATCAAACGACTTTTTTCGAACTGGGTAGGTTGAGAGAAGTGTCAGACTCTGATTGTCTAACAGTCACACCGGTAGTTTTCCTGCTGCAGTCTGGGGTCGGGATATCTATTATTACGCTTGACGCGTAACCCCGGCTGTAATAATGATACTGTGAATTAACTTTTCTTAATTCGTTCGAAAGACACGTAGGAAAATATCACTGAACTAAAAACAATAAGCATAAGTAGTTAGGCCATGTTGATATCAACTACTTACTGCAAAATTGCCTATTCCTGTTGTATAAAGGAGACATCAAAAAAAACACCCTGTGATAAAGAAAAAAACTCCCAACCTTAAACCGTGGGTGTTAATTTGAACGCTTCACCTTTAACAAATTCCAATGATACAGTAAAAATACTATGAAAGGTAATAAAATTTCCGAATCGCAGCAATGCAGTTAACAAGAACCACGATTGGGCTTCATCAGCTAGTGAGCTAGCAAGGTGGTCTAACATCCATACGCTTCATTACCACACAATATCACCATCAAACGGGCCACCGATAACTTTTATTGTCCTTACATTTCACTTTGTAACATCTTAAAGGCATAAATAGACTCCAAACACTCTTAACCGGTCGAAACTAGTTAATAATGTAGATATTTTGTACAGATGTGATAAGAAAAGGATAATGATAGTTATGAGCTTTAAAAGAACAATACTATTTGTTTTAGACACGTAATGATACCTTTGTTACAGATGCTTGTAATGTATGCGCAACTAAAAAGGATGTTCGTTGATATGTTATCCCCAAATGGAACATAAAGTGATCAAGGTTTTTGTAAATAGATTATGGAAGATTAAAGGAGAAAGCGTGGAATGAATATGAAGGAAGTAGAGAACTTTTGTTTTGTCTGTGAGATTAAAATATATATATTATGTACATATAGATGTAACATGTACATAATATAACAATAACACTTTTTAAAGTGTAGTGTAGTCGTAAAACTTTTATTTTTTATTTATTTAAGTATAACATAGAACACCTAATAATTAAATTAATATTTAAAACTAGCTTTTGTCCGTGACTCCGTTCGCGTGAAATTGTGACTTCCTGCAGATTTTTAGTATAAACATGTCCCATGTCCTTTCTCGAGTTCCAAACTATGTCTGTATCAAATTTCACAGAAATCCGTTCAGTAGTTTAGGCGTGAAGAAAAGACAGACAGACAGAGTTACTTTCGCATTTATAATATTAGTATAGATAAGGTAAAATTAAAATCACATCACGTCATCATCTTATTATTAGAGTCCACTGCTGAGCAAAGGCTTCTTCTCAGACGAAGAAGATTTCACAATCCTGAAACGGCTCAAAAATATAATTACCGGTAAGGTTATTGGAACTTTAAAAAGAAGAAACAAAACTTGGTTGGTATATAAAATAGACATGGGAAATAGTACCGAACCAATCTACTCGGATAGCCAAAAACCAGTGTTTGTGTATACACTATACATATGGATTTGTTTGTTTGTTTGTTTAGATTATTATTGGGTAACTCGCCCACGGATTATTTGCATGGTGCTACTCGTAAAAGAAGATCACCATATGCAACAATACTGCTTGGTTACACACATAAGTATAATCGATATTGTAAATAATGCACGAGAAAGTTAAAGAACACGTCTACTGTGCATAGGTCCTGTATTGAATTCCATATATTTTCATGAATAAGATTCAATTTCACTTTTTTGCTAATAATATCATAAAATTTTAAGGTATGATTATTTAATAGATCGGCAAATGAGCAGACGGATTATTACCTGATGGTAAGCAATCATTGCCGCGCGTGGACACCGGGAACAGAGGAGTTATGAGTGCGATGCCGACCTTTTGAGTATTAGGGATTTGGAGATTTAGGAATTGGGGAAGGATTGGGGGAGGGGAAGGATTGGGACACCTGTTACCTCACTCACAACGCTGTGGTTGTTTCACGCCGGTTTTCTGTGAGGCCGTGGTATCACGCCGCTCGAGCCGACCCATTCGTGCCAAAACATGGCTCTCCCACACTTTCCAAACCAAAGATTGTCAGAAAAATCATCATTATTCTGTCTAATATGGTAACCACCTACAAAATGTGTAATGTAATATCTATTTTAATAAAGTCACGAATTAATTGCGAAAATCTCTACCAGTTACTATGAGAGTATATTGTTATATTTCAATAAATATAGCATATCTCAAGATAGTTACTATTCAAAAACGCACTAATCTTCGAAACTACTCATTTAAATTGAACAATCCTTTTTATTAATTATTATGTTTTCGGCTTACTCACGTAATAATTTGACGAGATACTCGACTAGTTACAAGCCATGCTAGAGGCCCATATTCATGAGCAGCATTCTGCGCTGCTACTCGAAACTAGTCGAGTATCTCGTCAAATTATTACGTGGTTAAGCCGAAAACATAATTAATTTAGAATGTCTCACGAAAGTTATAATCAAAAAATCATTTTTATGTTGGATAGTTCATTTTTGAACTGTCTTATAAGACTATAATAACATTACTCTTTATCTACATACACATAAGCGGGTGAAATTACGTGGTAACATCTTGTGTAAAATTTAAATTGTACCAAGTATTTATTCTGTGAAGCTTCGTTGTTTTGACCTTCGACAAACAACAAGCTTAATGTAAGTAATAAGTGTTATGAGAAAGTATTCTATTAGGAAAGTATTGTGTTCTTTGTAATTATTATGAAGTAGGCTTGAGTGTAACAAACGTGACGGGCCCAACGTTTCGAGTGCTGTCTCCACAACAACTAACATTCGAAACAGTATTTTAATTAACATCGAACAAATAGCCTGTAAATAAAGTCTGTCTGTAATTTATTTTGTTTAAGAAGTGTAGAAGAACCAAACTTCGCCACGAATGTTTCGGCTCGGCCGAAGTGATACCATGGCCGGACAGAAAATTGGCGAGAAACCACCATAGTTTTGTGTTTCGCCGTGTGAGTGGGGTTACAGGAGGCCCTATCCTTCTTCCCTGACCCAAATGTCCAAAACCCTAATTCCTTAAAGCCCGGCAACGCCTTCGTAAATCCTCTAGTGTTGTGGGTGTCCATGGACGACGTCAATAACTTACCATCAGGTAATCTTTCTGAGTGATTGCTGTTCCATAAAGTAGAAAAACATATTAAAAAAAAGCTTTTTGGGATGCTAAAGTTTTTTTATCTATGTTTTATTTACATTATTGCTCTTGCATCCATAAAACCACGGTGGTAGTAGACTTGCTACGTTATATGACTTTGAGAATGCCGAAGGCAGAAGAGCTTGATTACAACTATATAAGCCTTTTTTCGTTTTCTTTAATACATAGTCCGATAAATAACACCACGGATGTTAGAAGTAGTAGCAGTAAATTTACACTATTGGCGAAATCAGTTTAAAAAAAAATATTCTATAAGCGACATGGTCATAACAAAAATTTTAAGTATTCTAAATAGTCCTATATAATAGATCTTTACCTATGAAATTGCCGTTTTGGATGAAAAAATTTAAACGAATTTTTTGATTTGAAATGCGATGAAAATGTAACACTAATCAATAAACAAATGACTACTTTTGGAAAAAGAATCTCATGTTTTTAAAACAAAATTAATTAGCCTTAGCCTAACAAAAACTATTTTGATTTGAAATGGCCAGTACTGCAGAACAGCAATTTCATAGGTAAAGACCATCGATCACTAATATGGTAAAGACCTATTATTAAACCATTTCATAACCAAATAAAAAACAAAACAAAATATTCACTAAGAGCTGATTTTTCAATGGTAAGATAAAAGCTACCTAAGGAATCATTATGATGCTGTCTCGTCAGCATGTTTGTATAAGACAGTGACAGCAACAATTTTATTCCTCAGGTAACATTTACCTGACTAATGAAAAATCAGCCCTAAGCACTTTAAATTCATTCATGTTTCGATCTCTATCTCGATCTTAGATTATAGTTTTACAACTTATAACTGTAAAGGCAAATAAAACCGAATCATGCGCTTACGTGGATGCAATGCAAGTTAGGGTCCAATTATCACGCGTTAGCAAGGTTCTGGAGACGGTAATGACCTTTGACCTCAAATGAGGTCTTCGAGCGTCGATACACTGACCCACATACTTATGTT